TTTCAGTATGTTCATATCTATCTATCACAGTCTTTTAATTATCTATCTAAATCTGTGCACAACTATATATTTTGTATCTATATATCTATTTCCGTGTGTGCACACTTATGTATCTCAGTCATTTTATTGTCTATCTATCTATCTATCTATCTATCTATCTATCTATCTATCTATCTATCTATCTATCTAATCTTTTCACTGCAGAAAGCACTGTGTACCTCCTCTATGTTGCATAGTTATTAACCAAGCATAATTTAAATTCCATAAAGCAAGAGTATTTGAGTATCCAGTAAGAATCAAATCGACTAGACTAGAGTTAGATTTGCCAAACGGCATAACAACCTATCGCACTGCGGTAGAAACCCAATTCTCTCTCTCTCTCTCTCTCTCTCTCTCTCTCTCTCTCTCACACACACGCGCGCGCGCATACATTAGCATTTACATACATACAGGGAGCGATGGATAAATTTTTCGCCATTTTATATTTTTAATTTCGCGCATGCGCATTTTTTTTATTTTATCGACTACAGACTGTAGTAGAGTCACTTGAGCGTTGTTTATACAAAAGATGCACCATGACGCTATTCACTTTGCCAGAAATTTGGAATAGACCTGCTGTACTGCTTCGCATTCGCGTCGGAAAATCCAAAACGAACATTTCAGAGTGTTTAGGTGTCAATCTGAAGACAGTGAAGAGGATCTGAGAAGAGTTGGAATGACCCCTAGTGATGGCAACGTTATGCCTCCATTCATCTTCTCACAGGGCCTCAGACTCAACATGGAGGCCTACAGTGCTTTGGGGACATAATGGTACCCTAGGTCAAGAGAATGGCTGCTGACTGACCCTTTGTCTGGCAACATGTCTCTATACCATGCCACACAAGCAGGAGACCCAATTATGGCTGTCAGACAATTTCTGTGACCACATCAACCCTTTACTCCCGGCCACCTGATCCCCAGACTGCAACCGTCTTGATTATTGTGTGTGGCGCAGTTGAACGAGAGACAAAAAAAAACTCCTTTTAACACCAAAGATGAACTGAAGGCAAGAATTATGTCAGCATTTATCGGCTTATACAAGAAGACCGAAGAATTGCAGCAGATTCCGAAGTCGTCTAGAGGCCATATTTTGAAGCCTATGGCGATTTTATTGAATAAAATTACTCTTTAGTATTTCAAGATATTTTTGTGTAATTTAGGTAAATATATCTGTTAAAATGAGATGTCAGTTTTATTTTCATTTTTGCGTAATTTAGACGCACCCTGTATTTATGTATGTATGTGTGCGTCTGGGCGAGTGGTTATATCGTTATCTTTTTACTCTGATATAATTAAATAATACATGGAGATCATATCCCGGGTAATCTCAATATCCTGCTGTAGAACCACTTTTTATCATCTGTGAAGAAATTGTCCAGCATTCACTACCACATAGGAGGATTGATATTACATAGCCTTCCAGAGCTCTTTTCTTTGTTTTTAAAGATTTTTTTTTATTTCTTCGCTTGGTTTTTGAAAGGCATTTTTGCTATTCGAAAGAACATTCGTATTTCGGATTTCTATATTGTTAATTTAAAACACTTCACAAAAATCTAACCATCTTCATTTGTTTGCTTGCGCATTTCTAATTCTCCTGTGTGGAGACTTCAGGGGTTATTGGCCCTCGTTCGATGGCGTTCCTTCGGAGGATTGGCAGGATGGCGTCTCGGTTAACGGATGAGCCTCGCGAAACGGAGTGGCTCTTGCAGCGTGTCTCACTGGCCATGGTTCGAGGTAATGCTTTCTCCATCATTGCGGCTGGCAGAGGATAGCAAAAAACAAAACATTTTTTTTATAGTTACTTTTTTCAAACTTTTATTCCCTATGATATCCTAATAAACAATGGATTTTATGTAAATTCTTGTCCATTATTTCCGCTTTCCTTTGCTACGTCGTTTTTGAGGCCCAGTACTTTTCTTTATGAGTGCGGTAACTAGACATTATCATACTATCTTTTCTTTTAGTCTTTTAATCTTAGTAACCTTATCATATCATCTTTTATTTTAATCTTTTAATCTTAGAAACCTTATCATATTATCTTTTCGTTTAATCTTGTAACCTTAGTAATCTTATCATATCATCTTTTCTTTTAATCTTTTTATCTTAGTAAATTTATCATACCATATTTTCTTTTAATCTTTTCATCTTAGCAATCTTTTCATATGATGTTTTCTTTTAGTCTTTTAATCTTAGTCATCTTATCATACCATCTTTTCTTTTAATCTTTTAATCTTAGCAACCTTTTCATATAATCTTTTCTTTTAGTCTTTTAATCTTAGTAATCTTATCATGCCATTTTTTCTTTTAATCTTTTAATCTTAGCAATCTTTTCATACCATCTTTTCTTTTAATCTTAGCAACCTTTTCATATATTCTTTTCTTTTAGTCTTTTAATCATACTAATCTTATCATACCATCTTTTCTTTTAATCTTTTAATCTTAGCAACCTTTTCGTGTCATCTTTTCTTCTAATCTTTTAATCTTGGTAACCTTATCATACTTATAATCTTTAATCTTAGCAACCTATTCATACCATCTTTTCTTTTAATAATTTAATCTTAGCAACCTTTTCGTGTCATCTTTTCTTCTAATCTTTTAATCTTGGTAACCTTATCATACCATCTTATAATCTTTAATCTTAGCAACCTATTCATACCATCTTTTCTTTTAATAATTTAATCTTAGTAACCTTATCATACCATCATTTTTTTAATCTTTTAATCTTCTTTTAATCTTTTAATCTTAGTAACATTCTCATACCATCTTTTCCTTTCTTTATTAAATGAAGAATATCCACTTTTGCTTCTTTCCTTCTTCTTCTCACACAATACCTCGAACAATGTGCACAAAATATCTATAAAAATCAATTTTCAAATAGTTTTTCAACAACGTCTTTCATAGAAATGAAACCTGTTTTACCATGAAATACCTTTTTTTTTATAAATTCATTTCTGTGTCTGTGTTTTGTATATTTTTTTCGAAGAATATTGTTTTTCACAAGACAGGAACGGTTGTTTTGCCAAAATCTGTTTTCTCCATAAAAAATATTTTTAACTATCAAGCCTGTTTTTATTTTTCTCCATTTTTTATATATATATATACATGTATATAAAGAAGACAGTATTATTCAACGTGGAATATGTGATAGGCTTCCAGAATCATTGCACAATTCTTGGAATTCTTACAAGTCAGTCTTTTGTCCTAAGAAACAAAAGTCTTGTGTAGGAACTTGCTGAAAGTGCCTTTAAGGCGAGCAGGCATGATTGAAATATTGATAAAAACAATAAACAAGTTCAGAGTGATACAATAATAATAATAATAATAATAATAATAATAATAATAATAATTGATAAGGAAAAATGTGAACGGAGAGTCAATTAGATTAATAATGAAATTGCCCTCTTTCAAATGATTAAGCGAATTAAAAATGGAATACGCGTTTGGCCTTATCGATATGTTGCATATCACCATTATGTATATTCGAGATGTATTCAAGCCCAAATAAAGGCAAATATTTTAAAGGTGCTTGCGAATGGAATATATACGGTTGATGTTAAACGTCTGACGCATGTATACAGGATTTTAATACGTTCACTGACATAATAAAATAGATTAGGCGTGTTTTCCCATGACTAACGAATTGGAAACAGTTGACAATAGAGATTTCTAGAAATACCTTTGCCCAAAGTCTTTATATTTAAATTGCTAGATAATTCGTAAAGATTGATTGATCTGTTTTTAGGGTTTATAACCTCTTTTCAGGTTATTTAAAGACGGAAAATGTTTTTTGGATTGTAAGGATTCTGAGGGGATAATAATGATTTACAAATACAATTCTTACTGTTTAACCCATAGCTGGGGAAAAAGGTAAATTCAGAGCTTTTCCCAGGGTATTTGAGCGTAAGTTAATATAACGAACTCAACTGAAATTGGAACTCGACTCTCCGATTTATATTTGCCAACTGTTATGGGACCTACCTTTATGGACTAAATGGACTCGTCCTATTACTATATATACGAGAAGATTATGCCTCGTGAGAGAGCTGTCTACAGTTGACCTGTTCCAGCTAAACAGTCAAACTCTCTGCCTTCGGGCGGAGAGGAACCCGGATGAGGCTCCGCCGAAGTGCAGAGTATCGTTCGGGGAGGTTGACTGCCCCTGAACCCGTTCATGCGGGTTCAAAGAGGGATTATTTTTGGCCGAGCCTACGGGCGCGGAGATCCCACGTTAAACCGGCCTTGTGCCACATGTAACCCTTGTGGGGCGGTAACTAAATATCGCAGTCTACAGTTGACCTGTTCCAGCTAAACAGTCGAACTCTCTGCCTTCGGGCGGAGAGGAACCCGGATGAGGCTCCGCCGAAGTGCAGAGTATCGTTTGGGGAGGTTGACTGCCCCTGAACCCGTTCATGCGGGTTCAAAGAGGGATTATTTTTGGCCGAGCCTACAGGCTCGGAGATCCCACGTTAAACCGGCCTTGTGCCACATGTAGCCCTCGTGGTAGGTAACTAAATATCGCTGTCTACAGTTGACCCGCAGTCTCTGAATGTGTACGTCTTCTGTGTAAGACTTCTGTCGAACTCTCTGCTTTGGCAGAGAGGAAGCCGGACGAAGCTTTGCCGAAGGTCAAAGTTTCGTCCGGGGAGGTAGACAGGCCCTCAACCCGTCTAGGCGGGTTCAAAAGGTATATTTTTGTTCGAGTCTACGGGCTCGGAGAAACCCACATTAAACTAGGCCTTGTGCCACATACATTCCTCTTGGGGGGACTCTTAAATATTGCTGTCTATAGTTGACGAGTTGACTACTGTACTTTGCCGTCAGTCGGATGGGCAACACTTTTGTATTCGTTCTTTTTGTTTAATAATATGTTTTCACTAAATTGCTGAGTTCGAGTTTTCTTTCGGACCTATTCTGGGTCCACAACACTAAACATTTTCCATTACACCACCAACACATCCAAGATTACAGCACCTGGTATTCCCAAGCGCTGTCCGATCTAGGCACTGACCAGGATCAAGTTGCTTAACTTCGGTGATCGTATGAGAACCTATGTTTCAACGTGATATGGCCATGACCCGAATTCGAAAAGATGAAAGTAGTGAAAGGTATCATTATACTGGAGCGGATGACGCAATGTAAAATATCTTGTCAACCGCTCAAATATAACCACAGTTTTCACTGATTTCATCTTTACAAATTATCTTGAATTTATCAGATTTCGGGAATAGAACAATTAAATTTTCAGCACCCTCCCCTCGTATCTTTTTTTTTTTTTACAATCGACACGCATTTTACACTTCATTTGAGACTCTCCGTATAGAAATTTCTCGGTCCCAAATTAAAACGTATATTGATTTTGAATGATACGAGAGGTTGCTGAAAAGTTTACGAGTTGACCAACTCTCAAATATCTGAGTATATGATCAAATTGTTTCCTTTGTTTGAGAACTTTTTGGAGAGCTTCCTACTACCAATTTTGAGACGATGCCAAGAAATTTTCAGACAAAAGAATTCATCCATTTTGCGACTAAATCCATTCCATTTCAAATTGCAAACATACCTTTAATGTTAATTTTAAATTTACCACAGCGTTTTGGCTGATCAATTCTACAGACTTCTTAAATGAACGATTGTACACATTAGTGTTGATAATTTAAACGCAGTAATATACATCTTAGAACATTTAATACATTAACTCTGTTATTAGCCGGAGTAACAATGAAAATTGTGATAACAATGAAATATTTGACTGAAATAGTCTTTTTTTTTTTACTTTTTTGATTAAAAAGAGATGTAAGAACAATCCTTTCAGAAATTATTTTCTTTAACTAGTATCTTTACCGTTGTTGTTTTTATCAATTTCCGGTGATGTACACCAAACCTTTTTTTTCAAAATAAATACTGTATCTTATAATCATCATTATCCTCATTACTCTCTTAACCCAGTGTGATCGTAGGGCGAGACGAAGAAATGAAATCATGCCTTTCTTAAGCATATCTGCGTATAAGTTAATGTCGCCAACTCGACTGGAATTTCAGCTTTCTGATTTTTTCATTCCAAGACGTCCGCAATTACTCCTAAAACAGATCCAATCGTGTGAAGATATTAATTCTGACAATACCATAATTGTGAAAGATCAACAAAAAATGTAGAGGCATTTAATAGCCCATATGTATATGAGTTAGTAGTTATTTAGTCTTTTGAACTGTGATGTGGTTGTAGGTAGTTAAGAATCAGAAGATTATAGCCAATAATGAAAATATTATAATTATTTCAAATTACCAAACTTTCGAACCGAAGAAATTATACGTTATGTGTCTTTTCTTCACCTGTAAGATAAAAAATAACCAACATACATTGTAATATATCTGATTAGACATCGTATATCAGTCCAAAACTATTTCTTTCTTTGTTTATACGGACATTTTCAATTTCTTAATACTTTACTCATTTTTATATCTTATTGCTATTCACTGTCGTATTTCTGTATCACATTTTCCATCATTCTTCCTATTCTACCCAGATAATTAAATTTCCACACCTGCTTAATTTTTATGTTCCCAATACGTAAATCGCACCTTCACTATTCCTGTTACTAGCAACGATGTATTCCGTCTTCTTACGTTTAATGCTTAATCCTTTCTTCTTGCTTTCAATCGACTACCTTGTTTAATAATTCTTTAAGTTTGTTGTATGATTAACAAATAGACATTTCTACACGTCTACTTTCTTTATCTTATTACTGGCTTAGCTGCTGCAGCTGCTGCCGCCATGGTGGCACTGGTTATTGATGGCATTAAATCGTCTTCAACTTGGCTTGCATTTATCTGTTTCTCGTTTCTTCGTCATTCTCGCGCAGCTGCCCTCAAGTTACAGCAACGAATTGATTTCTCATCTATGCATATCTGCTGTCGCTGTTGTGTCCTTTGCATTTGATCAGTACCTCTTTCCATCGTATGCGCACAGGTAGAAATCTATACTCACATAATTTCATTATTAGACCGCAAATATCATATTCGCTTGCACGGATAACTCTATCAATTCGATTTCCGAAGTCGATCTTCAGCTTAAACCGATGTATATTTAAAGCAAAATCATGTCAATGACCACTCGCGTTAATTTAATATAGATCTCAACACACCTTGGTTGAGTGCGCCCTCCCTCCCGCACGCACGCACGCACACACACACACACACACACACACACACACACACACACACACACACACACACATATATATATATATATATATATATATATATATATATATATATACAATGAGAGTTGACGGGACTGGAGAAGAAGTCTCTTATATCCGGGTTTCTCTTATATCCGGGTTTGGTCTATATGTATACATTAACACAGGCTCTAATTTTGGACCAGATAAAATCTCTTATATCCGGGTTTTCTCTTATATCAGGTCTCTTATATCCGGGTTACACTGTATATATATATATATATATATATATATATATATATATATATATATATATATATAAGCAAATTGTGTAGTTGGGCAGCAATCCATCTTTTTTATGCTAATCTCGTTGAAAAAGACTTAGAAGGTGCGATGGTTGAGTTTTTATATAATTTCTCATGCGTTCGTATATTTTCTTTTCTTTTCAGGACATAAATTATATAAAAATTGTCCGAATATTTTCCAAGCGCATTCGGTTATAGTTCTAGCTATATCCAAGGATACATTTTATTTTCCTTTTAACTGAATATATGGATTGTTTTATGTATATATCTAGAGTTATACGTATGTTTTATTTTCCAAACACGGTCATCACATTGTGGCCGTGTTCATAGTTGATATTATTAAGTGTTGGCATTTTCTTTTTTATTAATAATGCTTCCATTATTTTTAGCCTTTTTGTACACGTGGATGATGCTATTATATTTGTATTATCATCAAGTATGTTAGGTATAGTGTTTGGTAGGTCTCCATGAGTATTTAAATGAGACCTAATTGAGCTATGGTCAGAGAGACGCATCATGAGTCTTTTTTAAACATGTTACACTGTATCAAATATAATTATTTACAGATTTGTTTTGGCCCGGAACACAGCTCTTTAAATGACATATAAATTTGTGAATAATATTGGTTCTCTATAATTTGGACCTTGCAGGTAAATTTTTATTTTTGACGATGAGGTTAGCAGTTTTAAATTTTTTAGAATAAATAATTTCATTCTCTTTTTTTTATGATGTTTCGAAGTGACGATTCGTCTTGCTTATAGTTACTATGCATTTGCTGTTTCTTTTTATTTTGAAATTTTATATTTCATGTGGCACAAGGCCAAACGGAGTGGGAAAAACTGGTCGTCACTGACTATCCTACATCTAGTTAATCTGGTTCACTGCCCATTCATTCATTACAATTTCCTCATACCCCACAAGAACTCATTCATCGCCATACAATCCAACACATACCACAATACCGCATATTCACAGGGATCCTACTAAAACACCTATGACATGAAAATATATACAATGGCTTTTTTTGTTGTTTTTTTTTATATAAAAATATTAAAAGGTTATAGCATTAAATGAGTGCGAGGGGATGTACCCAATAACAAAAATAAAATACAACACAACATTCAAAATAAAAGTAAAATATGTTAGTAGCACTCGTCCAACTCAGAAACTTACTGCCCACTGTATTTTGTATGAAGGGCTGAGCCAGTCAAGATAAAGAGAGGGTGGAAACAAAAACAAACTCGGGGCGGGGGAGATTGTGAATCTTGACATGAAATGTGGAGAACAACAATTACTCACATTAGCTAGGTAAATAAAAGTGTCAAATGGGTGTGGGTAAAGGTTGGTCGTCACTGACTATTCTACACGTAGTTCATCTGGTCAACGCCCATTCATTTACATATACACCAGGAGAACTCATTCATCGCTATTCACTTCAACACAAACCATAATACCGTATATTCACAGGGATCTCACTAAAACAACCATAGCATGAAAATATATACAGTGGTTTTTTTAGGGTGGCTTTTTTTATATAAAACTATAAAAAGATCGTGACATGAAATGAGGGGGTGGCGATCTACCCAATAATAACATAGAATACAGCAAAACATTCAAAATAAAGTTAAAATATGTTAGTAGGACCCGTCCAACTCACAGAAAATTAGAGTGCCTACTGTATACTGCGTGAAAGGCCGGACCAATCAAGATGGGTCAGCCAAGATAAAAAGTGTGTGAACAAAAACAAACTCGAGAGGCCGGGAATTTTGACATGCATCATAACAGAGGAGAATGACGGGAACAACATTTATTCACATTAACTAGGTAAGTAAAAGTGCCTAACTTAACCAGGGGAGGGCACCGAAAGGAAACCACCCCATTGTGTCAAATTACGCCTAAAAAAGAAAATCAAGACTGACCCCATTCACACAAACTAAGCTCACCGCTTTTACCCATCTTTCTTTCAAATCTGCCGATAACAAACACGTTCTATCAGTTTTGAGCTTCCAACCAGATCCTGATGTGAATAATGTTCGTATCGTAAGATTTCTTTCATCCACGTCGTCCACATCGCCATGCTTGCCACGGCTAATACCGTCAGAAACACCACCCCTCTCAGCACAGAACACGGGGATGACACATTATTGAAGCCCACTGGGCACAAGACTTTCGGGTTCAATACGAGCCGTCAACTAGCTGACATAATCCCAGAACGGTCGCACATGAGAACAGTTGTAGAGGGCCTGCACAGCCGTTTCTTCCAAACCAAGCTCACACTGATTGAAAGTCGGACATATCTGCCCAGTCCACTTTGAAGCACATGTCATTAAGAAATAGCGCATTCCAGGTCAATCGCCAACCTAAGAGTTACTGAGATAATTCGCCGCTGACGCACAGGATCAGAAATGCAGCAACTCGATCGCCGAGAAGCTGAAGGCGAACAGATTCGGACTGATGCAACCCCACTCCAATAATTCCCAATACAATGTTCTCGAAGGCCGTGAAAAATCACTGGACCGTGGAGTAGCGCACAAGTCCTTTCGACAATCGTGGACGAATTCGGACTGTTTCAGCGGTTTACGACGGCA